TTCGCATCAAAGGAATTATAGCGATTCCGCATGTTTTCAATTTTTATTGGCAAAACAATCCAATATAATAACTTTCAATACCCTGCAAATGTTCAATACTCTTTTCATTTTCTTCAAAATAGACAACCGTTTCGCTAATCACATACACTCGAATTTGGATAAGCAAACACCAGTTTATCTAAAAAAATCGGTTAATTGAAACTAAAAATTATAAATTATATTATTAGGTTGTAGAAAAAGAAACCCATTATTTTTTCAGCATATGGGTGTACTGATAGATTTCTCGTAATGTATCGATCAAACAGTTTCAGATTTATGCTCGTTGGAGGGCTGACATTTCGCAGTAAAAAATATTTTTCTGAGTCGATTTATGCATGTCCGTCTGTCCATCCAGGTATTTTTGGGAACACAGTATAGGTCGCATTTATGATCCGATTTGGATGAAATTTGGCACATGTCACTTATTTGGATATAGCTCCCATATATAGTTTCGTCCGATTTTATATAAATGGTGCACCAAACTGAAAATATTTGCCCGATTAGGAGAACATTTTGCACAACCTACGGAATTTAGTCCAATTTTATATCTGTGAAGTTTTTGTTGAAATCGTTCCAGATTTAAATATATATTTCCGTCCGATTTTGGGTAAATGGCGCATCAAACTTCCAATATTTGTCCGATTGAGACTAAATTTTGCACAGCAAACTGATGTTGTGAACTTTTCTTGAAATCGGTTTAGATTTACATATATCTCCTAAATAAAATTTTGCCGGAATTCATACAAATGTTACACCAAAAATTCAAGTCTGCCCGATTGACGATTTTGTTTATAAATTTCAGAATGGTATATGAATGGTTTTTTATTGGTACAAATATCTATGTAGATCACATTTGTTTCTCACCCGATTCCATGTCAATGGTCATCGAAAGATAGCAACATCATCGTCTCTTGTATATACCCAATGTCGTGAAGGGTATCATTTAGTCGGCCCCATCCGACTTTTCTTATTGTTTTTTTATTAATTTTTACATTGCAATTTTCAACGAGTATATTAAAAATATTGGCTAGTTTATGAACGGTCGGAAAATTCTGGATAGTGAACATGTTAAGGCAACGATTGGTGTTATAACCATTAAAATATCCTCTGGCACTAGGTTTTGGAACCCAAATATTTTGGAAAAAATCATATTTAGGAATTTTATATAAGAAATTGTTGTTGATTATCTTCTAATTACTTATAATTTTCACTTTCATAATACTCACCAGTTCCATTTCTTTAATGGACCGTCATTTAAAAACAAATTTTATTCGTTTTTGCTATTTGAAATTTGCCTTGTAAGCCGCTAAACCAACGGCGAAACGCGTCGCATAGTGGTGGGTACGTGGGTTCTTCTCGTGGCTTTCCTTTTCATTGCAAAACTTAGGTCATCAAGCTCGACTCGAAAGAGTATAAATAATCACTTAAAAATGTCTTTCAAATGATCACTGCCCTTACAAGGCAAAATTCAAATAACAAAAATTAATTCAGCTGTGTACGGCTAGGGCTCGAACTTCAGTCCTCGGAGCAACACGAATGTTGCCAGACCACTCAACGTTCTGAGCCATCAACACATTTCCAAATAACGGTTGCGCAAAAAACATGTGTATACCATGGAAGCAATTGTGGGTGTGTGGATTAATTACCCATCGCTATAACAAAAAATATGCTTTGAAAAGGACTGTTTCTAGAATGAAGACAAATGTCAAACTTTGACAAATTTGATTTTAATTCCATATGCAAGTTTCGCATCAGGGCGTAATAAATACCAATTATCAACATACGACCTTTGTAAAATCACATAGCCCAATATGCCTGATGAACCGCTTAACCAACGGCGAAACGCGTCGCATAATGGTGGGTACGTAGGTTCTTCTCCTGGCTTTCCTTTTCATTGCAAAACTTAGATCATTAAGCTGGACTCGAACGAGTATAAATAATCACTTACAAAATTTATTCAGAAAAATATGAAATTTTGACTTTGACCCACAATGGTTAAAATTTTTACTGGTGTAAAGCTCAGTACCCAGATATCAAATATATAACGTTTTTCATCTCTACCTGAAATGGACTTTTTGCAAAAAAAAAAATGGATTTCTGGTCCATAGTGCAGTGTTTGAAAATTGTGCTAATACTAAAAATACCGAAAATCGAGTAGGCATATACTTGTCGCATTAAAAAAATACTTAAATCGTAATGCAATGTCCTTTTTATTCACAAAGCGCCAGAAATGTAAAATTTCAGCTAATTTCAGAAATAGCTAGTCACCACCCAAAACGATAGAAATCAAATATTGAAGACAGGAAATTAATAAAATACTGAAAAAAGGTTTTAAATCATTTCAAAAAAAATTTATTACTTTTGAAATTTACATATTTATATAACATTTCGGTCCGAACGTAAATAATTGTTTGTCATATTTGCGCCGTTTTTTGCTGTATATCGGAAAAGTGTTTCATTTGTGTCACTTTTTCTGAGAGAACGTCTCTAAATTTTTGTGGATTTTTGTTTGGCTCTAGGTCAATTGGAAATCTCATTGGTTATGGTTTTTCCTTTTTGTTTATTTTTTATTTTCCAATATTTCGACTGTCTTCGTAGAGATATAAACTCAATTATATTAGTCAATGCTTTGTCTGTGTTTATGAACTATTTTTCTGTAAATATGTGCTCAGTGGTCCGTGTCAGTCTTATAATTCATTCTCTTATCGTTAGGTATATTTATTATGTTTAATATTTCTAGTGTGAATCGTCGTTTATAATTATTTTTCTGCGTCAATGTGTCTACGTCTTTAAAATTCGGCATATGTCCAGTTTTTGTACAATGTGCAACAAGCGCCGTTTTTTGCTCTAAAGGTTTGTCTGAATTTTGATCTGACTTATCTCCAGAAAGTATCGTCATAAATTTAGTTTTGGCTTACCAACATATACATTTTGGCATACGTTGGATTTGCCCCCTTTACATTTTATCTTATATACTACATTGCACTTGTCTTCCTTTTTAATTTTTTATTTTGTTTTGCTGAACAGACTATTGACGGTATTCTTAGATTTTAAGGCTAATTAATAATTATTCTTGTCATAAATATTCGAATTACGCTATGTCTCAGACAGTCCAGGTATATAAGTCTTTATTTTTATTCGGTTAGGATGCTCCGAGAAAAAGTCAATTATTCGTCCAGATGCTGTGGGCTTTTGGTACCAATCTATATTTTATTCCAGTAGCTTACCAAATTTAGGGTTCTATGATTTTTAAATTGATTTTTGGTACTTTATCCCGCCAAAACCAAATTTCCTTTGTTGAGATTAATATGGATACAGTTTCAAGGCAAATTATTTTTAAAGCAAATTTTTTAAGAAACCTATAAAAAAATCGTTAATCGATTCAGTTCAAATTTTGTGATAAATATGAAAAATAGATTACTTAATTCTATTTTTCTCACACGTAACTTCACGATAATCTACGAATTGGATGGTGATTAATTTTGTGACACAATATTTTTCATTTAAATATGCCCCAAATATCAAGAAAATATGAATTGTTGTTTCATAATTTCATTTGTGACTTTAAGCACTTATAGAAATAGTTACACCACAATAAGGTGGAAATAATCATGTGATCAATACTTTATTTGCCACAAATAAAGTCATTTAAAAGACCAAAAAAATTGAGAAACATTTGTTTTATTCTAAAGTAATGCGCAAACAAAGAAAAAATCAATAAATCTCATCGATCTTAATTTCAACTTCCAATATTATATTTAAATATTAAATGTATCACTAGTTATGGATATGCATTTCCAATAAAATGTATGACACGCATTTATTTATCCATATTTTCTTTCAACTCTTCTCTGATGAATGCATACCTCGTAAATATTTAATTATTATCTACCTTTAAAAAAACTATAACACCAAAACAGCTAATATTGCTGTTGTTTACATTCATATTTCCCCCCACCATAATTCGAAGCCGTCGGAATTTCGAAATAAACAACACACAATGTGAAATTTTTGTTTGTAAATGATTTTTATGTATTTTGAATTATTTTCTTTTTAACTCTTTTTCTTTTCGTCTTTGTGTTTTTTTAATGTAAACAAACTTATAAATATATATTAAAATTAATTTATTCTACATTTTTTTATATATAAGCTAATTTTAAAATTATAATTTTGTATTTTTAAATATTTACAATTTGAATATCAAATCAACTAAAATAAAATTGGTTTATAATACTGGGAATTTTATTTGGGAATATTTTTTTAAAGAAAATGAGGCAGTCAAAAAAGTTTCAGTTTCAATATTTGTATGGAACGTGAGGCATTAGTGCCTATGGAGTTGTTATAATGAGAGCTTTAACATTTTTTTTTTTTAATTTTTATAAATATTTTTGATTGCCTAATTTTGTATGCCCAGTTTTTTCTTTGTTTTTCTTTTCTTCGCTTATTTACATTTCTTCATGCTGTACATATTTTTTTTCTTCTCCTTTGTTGTTTAAATTAAAATTAATTTTTAATTTTTTTACAATTTTCACTAAGCACATTTTTATAAAAATAATTAATGAATATGATTAAAAATATTATCACAAGTCAAAACTGAACAATTAAATAAAAAAACTGAGATTTGTTTCAAACGCAACGCCCGGCGTGTGCTAACACCAAATGATACTCCTCATCTTTACGTTTTGGCCCTGGAGGAGCATGTTTGCAGCACGCATTTGTAGCTTTTGCTGGATTCGTCGTTCGGTTGGTCGGTCAATTGGTCACTCAATGGTAGTAAATAAGGAACTCGGAATATGGTGCCAAGAAAAATAACTTCTCAAAACGCCACTTGTAAGTCATACGGCGCCATTGATGGTTATTTTGTTCTGGGAGCTGATACTAAACAACAACAACAACAATGGGGATTTTCATGACAATTAATCCCCTTCCGTTTCGTTGTGTTCCCGACGTTAGGCTACTTGCTTAGTGGCTGGCATCCAATTCATGTTCATCATCCGATGGACAATCATCCATTTCCATATCGATCAGTTCGTCATCTTCTTCATCACAGCTACCATCTTTGCGATCGGAACCTTCTTTACCATCTTCTTGTTGCATGCGTTTGTGTTTGGTGCGACGATTTTGGAACCAAACTTTCACTTGGGTCTCGGAGAGATTGAGGGATTGAGCCAAGGCTTTACGTTCGGCACCCACCACATATTGATTGTTCTCAAAGGCATGCTCCAATTTCAACAGCTGAGATGGTGAGAAGGCGGTGCGAATGCGTTTGGGTTTGCGGAAAGGTTGCAAAAGGAAATCTAAAAAGGAACAAAAAAAGAGAGAATGGAAATTAGTATTGTTTGGTAATTGATTTAAAAAATAAAATTTCGAAAAAATTGATTTTTTTTAATTAAAAAAAATGTTTTGTATGAAAATCTCTACTTACTTCCTGGAAAACGATGTGGGAAAATTCTGCCATGTCGGCTCAAAAGCCATGGGTATAGGGGATAACTATCCCGGGGCATACCAGGTCCAGCCATAAATGGCCCAGCATGATGAGGCAAACCAGCGGCAGCTGCCGCCGCTGCTGCCGGACCCAAAACATGTCCAGCCTGCAAGGCCATTTGGAATTGGGCAGCAGCAATTAAATGAGGATTATGTTGTGGTGGCAATTCTGGTGGGGCATTAATGTATGGTGGCAATGCCTTAATGTCAGGCATTCCCTGCTGTGGTGGAGGTGGTGGTGGGGCAGCAACTCCGGGACCCATTGGGAAGGGTCTTACAATGTTGGCTGGGGGCATACCAGGTACCATAATCGGCGTAAGTCCAGCCGATTGTGGTGGCTTGCCATAATGTTGAGGTGTGGCAGGGCTACTGCTCAGATTGCTGCTGGGTGGTGGTGAGGGATGTGATTGAGGTGACACCGATTTTGGTGGGGTATGTGGTGGCTGATGTCTTTGGGCAGGATTTTGCAATTGATCTTGTCCCCTATCCGGTGATCGTTCACGTTTCAAATTGGGCAGGTGCATTTGATGTTGAGAACTTGAATTGGAAGACTCAACATCGGGTGATAGGCGGGTGTGGGGTGGTGGAGGACTGTAGGTGGAGTTGCTGGTATTGCTATTATTCAAATGGGCAGCGGCGGCGGAATTGTGCAGACGCTGGATAATATCCGTAATTTCGGCTTTGGCGGCATTTTGTTGTTGTTGCTGGTGTTGCATCAACAAATGCTGATGCAAAGCCTGCTGTTGGGCCATGGACAAGTGATGGGCAGCCATGTGAGGATGAGCGGGATGTCCAGCAGACATCAAGTGATGCGGATGATGTGGTGGCAAGCTGGTCATGGCTGGTGGAGTCTGTGGTGGTGAGGAGGGGTTATTGTTGCTGTTGGTATCCTCTGAATTGGGGGTGCTGTGAGCTTGGGGTCTCACATCACCGACGGTATTTTGTGATGGTGGTGGTGATGAATTGTTGGCATCATTACCAACAATCGACTCAATGCTGAAGCCGATTTTTTGCTTTGGCGTAGGCATCATAACGGCTGAGGTGGGTACCGGCGGAATCATTTTAGTCATAAATGCTTGTTGTGAAATTACGTGGGCCGTCGTTTTGGCGTTTTACGTTACCACGGGCGATTAAAAATCCAAAATATTTTTCCGTACGTTGCTTTAAATCCGTTTGGTTGTGGTTTAAATTTTATTTTTTGGGACTTAGTCTGTTTTCTAAGTTTTTTGCTTGCACTTTAAATTTTTAATCCAAAAAGAAACACTTTGTTTTCTTTTATTTTTGTATATTTTCACTTTGTTATTTTCTTGTATTCAAGATTCTCTTATGTTTCTTTGCTTCTTCTCTTTGTATATTATATTTTCTTTAAATATCTTTTATATTTCTTTTTTTCTTTTTATGTTTCTTAAACACGGATGTTTTGTTAATGCGTGTGTTAACTCAACGACAAACGATGTCAGAATAATCTTGGAATGCTCAAACTCACACTAAGTATCCGCAGTGGGAATTTTACCTTGCTCTCTTGCCAGCAATACTCTCTGTATTAATATCAACCGGTTTCTATTGTGTGTTTGATTGTTTGCCTCTTGCATGCACATGCTATCTCCCCAATGTGGATGTTATTTGTGTATGGATTACTACACACACGAAAGAAAGAGAAACACACACACAACTCTTACTCGCTCTCTCTCCCTCGTATACAGTACCGTTGCTTAATAGCGTTTGTTTGGCTGCTCAATTGAACGACTAATATGTCTACTGTTATGCTGTTGTTGTTCTTGTTTGTACAAGCAATGGTGGTTGTTTATACAAAGCACTCTCCTCGTGGTAGTGGTGTTGTTGTTGGTTTTGTTTCTTTGCATTTGGCTTCTCTTGTTCTCAGAGGGGCGTTACTACTTTTAATAGTTACATTTTACGCTCGTTAAGAGCTGTTATTATTATTAGTGAAATACCCTCTGCTGCCGTTGCTGTTGTGTGTTTTCCAACCGTGATGTGAACACGGTTGGTGTTGTTGTTAGTGGTGGCTGTATTGTTGTGGTTTTGTAGTTGTTGTTACTTTTGCATATGGCTTCCGATAAATGATGTTGTTTGGTCTTTTGTTTGCCTTATGGAAAGAGAGTGGCATAGAGCAGCAAGTAATTGGTTGGTTGGCTGGTTGGCTCATTCGTTCGTTCATTGTATGCAGCCTAAATAAACAGCAACGACACAACAACAACACAAACTAATACAACCCAAACAGCAAACCATTCATGGTTAGTTGTCGTCATTTAGATCAATAAGTAAATTAACGAGTTTCATTATCTTTGCTTATACAAAAAGAAAAAAAAGCAACAACATCAAAATGTGTCTCCCAGCGCATCGAATGTGTTTATATTCAACTAAAGCTGTTGGAAAGCAAAAGATGCCCTAAGTGTTTTTACATTAAGAAAAATGAAAAAATAAAAAAAAGAAAACATCATGAATGAAGTAGGAGGATTTTCCAGAAGAAAAAACTACACCAAAGGCAAACCATTAGATGATGGAGCAATACTTTGCTTCTTTGATTACAGCAGCTGCTGCGGCTGCCATTTTCTTGTTGTTGTTTACTTGGAATTTATGTTAGCATCTCTGCTACTAACAAACCATAGCATATAATACTTAATTAGTTTATAATTTTTGTTTTGTTGTTTTTGGTTGGTATGCCTACTTTTAATTAAATGTGTGGTAGTAGGTTTTATTAGAGCACAATTAATTGCCAAAATGTTTCCCAATTAAAGGATAATCAGGGGAAAAAGTGAGCAGACCACAATTGTTCTCATTGTCATTATACATTTTATTTTTGGATACATTTTCTCGTTTTTATTAGGGATAATAAATGTAAAATTTTCGATGTAGTAAGAAAACGTTCTAGACACATTTTATTGGAATGAAAAAATATAAAATTGGATTTGGAAAGTCATAAAAATATAAAATTGGATATGGAAAGTTATTTAAAATTTCTATATAAATAAGATGAGTTATAAATTTTTTCGTATTATATACCGGGATTTGATAAAACAAATATTTCCATTGTTTACTGTTGAGACGCATTTTATTAAATATGAAATAAACGCGAAAAAAAATCATTTTATAGAATTCATAGTTGATATTAATTAAAAAAAAATAATAATGTAAATATTTGTAAGGCAAGAAGGAACTAATTTTGTATTTTTACATTACATTTTATATTACTTTTGGGTAAATATTCATTTGGAGAAATAACTATATCTGAAACTTTTAACATACCATTATCAGAAATGACTCACAAGTTCATTGAAGTTAAAAATCACATAATTTAGTTTAGCAAGAAAATGTGTTGTTAAGTTAATAGAATATTTTTAAAAATTTCGGCCGTAATAATATTTTAGATATTTACAAACATAACAAAAACAATTGCCGTGTCGATAAAATTACTTTTTTCACGAAAATTCATTAAATCTGATGTTCGGCATAAAAACAACGAATTGAATTATTGAATATCAAAAGAAAAAATCCAGCCCTATTCATAGACAAGATCGGATATTGGAAAATAATTTGTTTTGTCATATCTCATATATTAATTGAAGAGGAAACAATTCGAAGGAATTGTTACAGAAAGAATTGTTACAGAAAATATGATAATCACTTGGTACCAAGTCCGGACTGTATGACAGATGCATTAAAACTTTCCAACCAAGTCCCCGAAGTTTCTCCGATCATTTCTCCTATTCTATCGACATTTTCGACGACCGGCCTAACTGTGCGAGATGCATCTTTAACATCAAAAATTCCTCAACGTAATCTACGAAACCAAAATTACACATAATTGTCTGTTACAGTATCGGAACCATAATAATATTATATATGCTTTATAATGATAGAGTTTGAATACCTTTCTCTTCTATTTGAATTGATACGGTTATACTTCGAATAAACGATTCGAATACCAGATTCCTACATATGTTTTCTATTAGTGTGGGTTTCGTTGACTAAAACTGTAATATTTTATTCTTTAAATTTATACTTATTAAAATAAGTACTTCAAATTTATTTTTTCTATTTATAGAAAATTACTCCGACTTTAGTTACACCGCCTCTATGCAATATATCGTAGGGAATAAAATGAAATTTAAATCTGATATGTTCTGATAATATTTTTTATCACAAAATTCTTTGTAAATTTGCTCAAATTTAGAAAACACTATTTTGTGAATAAAATATAACATGAGAACATTTTTTGATTTAATGCACTCTGTCCTCGCTTCGCGCTCCTGAATATACCCTCTAGAAAATGATGTTTTGTTGATTTGTCATTTCAAGTAAAAACAATTATAAAAAATTATTTTTTTATTGTTAATTTTTTCTTCTTAAATTAAGGTTATATCCTTTCAAGGAATTTACATACTTGCTCAACAAAATTTGACCTTTGACAAAAGTGTAAAGGTGTCATTTCCCTAAAACAGTCCTATTTGGAATATGCGGAATATACAATTGCATGTATGGAAATTTCCATTTTTTGTACATTGGAAGAAATTGGAACAGGGTCAAATATTGGTCAATCAGGATTTTAAATAGTCAGCACAATCTTCAGATCATCCTATAGAAAAATCTTTGGAGTATCATAGTTATGTTGTCGATTACTAACTAAGTTTATTTAGTTTTGACCAATCAAAAATTGGGTCATTTATTTTTCCAAAGATATTTTTTAAAAAATATTAAAAAAAACTTCATTATAAGTTTAGTTTTAAAAAAGTTACAGGCCATTTATTCATTTTACAATTTCAGTTGCTTTAGTTTTGGTCACCAGGGTACATGTCATTACAATGCTAACGAATTTACTAATCATAGGACAATACAAGTTAGCCGGAACCGGTACGAAAAACATCTCTGAGAAAATGTTGTTTTCCAATTTTATCTAATCCAATCCGAGAAAAGTCTATATCTGAGTAATTGATTTGCCGTAGATCCGATAAAAAAGTAACGATATATGTTCTACCAGGGCGATTCGAAAACTTCTTAGCCTATCAATGAAAGAGAATAGTTTTTCAAAAAAATATATTTTACAATATAATCACCTGAAACTTCAATACTCTTAGTCCAACATTTTCTAGCAATTCTATCCTTAATTAAAATAGTTTTCCTCAAGGTCTTTACTGTATTTGCATCTTCATTTGAGGTAAAACGCTTGCCAGCAATATTTTTTTAGATTTGGGAACAAGTAAATGTCGATGGGAGCTAAATCAGCAGAATAAGGTGGGTGGTGAAGCAACTCGTACTTTAATTCGTTGATTTTAGCCATTGTTAAAACACTCCTGTGCGTGTTGTCTTGATGAACAATTATTTTTTGTGTTGTAAGCCAGGACGTTTTTCTCGAATTGTTACATTTAATTGATCCAAAAGGTTGCAATAGTACTCTGAATTTATTGTTTTACCCTATAAAATACCTTTGAAGTCCCAAAAACCCGTTTTCATAACCTTACCAGCCGGTTGAATTGTTATGCCTTCTTTGGGGCCATTCCTCCAGCTTCAGTCCATTGTATGGATTGTTATTTTGTCGTTATGGAACGACGCTTATATGCGAGAAATATTCATTCTTATGCGTTTTTAATCGACTGTTAACAAATGCGGAACCCATCTTGTTAAAAGATTTTTCATCTGTAGCTCTTCATGCAAAATTAAATGAACTCGATTATTTCAGATGCACGTGACATTAGCAATTTCAAGCACTTCTATTCGTAGATCATTTAATAGCACACTTGTTTGTTTCTGTTGCTGTTTTTAGACTAGTACGATCACGTTTAAATTCAGCAACCCAATTGTTTATTGTTGCATATGAAGGAGCACTTTCACCTAACAAATTTACCATATCATTACGAATTTCTTGTCCCGATAAACCTTTTTTATGTAAATATTTAATGACAGCACGCATTTCTAATATTTCCATTATGAAAAAAATTGCGGATGCATCTTTTTTGAACACCTGTTGTTGTCAGATCGCAACAAACGTTAACATGCGCTCATAACAGAGATGGAAGTTTCCAAAACACGTAACTTTTGTCTGTTTTTACTTTGCTTTTTGTGCTAGGCTAAGAAGTTTCCGAAC